CCCCCCCTGACTCTCCCCCAGCCCGAACCCCCCCCTCCCCTCCCCCCCCCCTCACCTCCCCCTCCCCCACCCTCCCCTCCCCCCACCCCTTCCCCCCCTCCCTCCCCCCCCCTCCCCCCCCCCCCTCCCACATCCACCCTTTCCGCGCTCCAGAAGCTACCCCCTCCCCCACCTCCCCTCTCACGCGGGTGGCGGGCTCACCTCTTTGGACACCCCCCCTGCCGGCCGAAGCCACCTCCCCCCCCCCGCCCCACGATTGGCCAAAAGGAGTGGATGAGGGCCTGGAAGCCCCAGCCGCCCCCTTTTGGCTAAAGGAAAGGGCGCCGAAAACCAAGAGGGCGCCACCAAAAGGGGCGCCGAAAACTAGAGGGGCTCCGAACACCAGAGGAGCGCCGAAAACCACCGGGGCGCCGAATGCCAGAAGGGCGCCGAAAACCGAAAGGGCGCCGAAACATCGAAAGGGCGCCGAAAACCAACGGTGCGGAAAACAAATGAACGCCGACAACCACAGGGACGCCGAGAACCAAAGGGGCGCCGACAACCAAAGGAGCGCCGAAAACCAACGATGTGCCGTTCCGAAAACCAAAAGGACGCCAAAAAACAAAGAGGCGCCGAAAACCAAAGGGGCGCCGAAAGCCAAAGGGGCGCCGAAAACTAACAGGGGCGCCGAAAACCAAAAGGGCGCCGAACAGCAAAATGGCGCCGGAAACCAAAGAGGCTGAACAAAAACAACTTGGCGCCGAAAACCTAATGGACGTCGAAAACAAAAAGGGCGCCGAAAGCCAAATGGGCGCCGAAAACCAAACAGGCGCCGAAGACCAAAAGAGCCCCGAAAACCACAGGAGCACCGAACTCCTTAAGGGCGCCAAACACCAGGAGGTCGCCGAATGCCAAGAGGGCGCCGGAGAAAACCAGAGGGGCGCCAGCTAATCCCGGCGCTTGCGCTTGCGCTCGTCGCGCTCTGTCCGGGGGGGGGGTGAGGGGGGAGCCTTCCCCGGGATCGGAGGACCCAGACATCCGACGTCTCGATTTTTTCGAGACGCGGGCCCCCGACCTCCCGACCACTTCCCTGGGACCGGTTTTTCATCCCGAGTCGTTTTGTGACGCTCCCGAGGCCCGGCGAGGGCCCCGAGGGGCCAAAAACTATGAAAAACCTCTGTCTCGATTTTTTCGAGACGCCCGATGTCTGGGGGTGCGGATCCGACCCATCTGCCCCGCAGCGCGCGGCCTCTCCGAGGCCAAGCGGGCAAGCGCCGGTCGGGCACGTGGCGGGGCACCCCCCCGCACCCCCAGGGGCGGGCCTGGCGGGCCAGCGGTAGCACGTGGTCGCTGTGGACCACCAGGGAAAGCCCCATTGGGCCAGCGAGCGTGGCAGGCCACTATGGTTAGGTCGGGCATGTCCTCCTAGAGGCGGATTTGGGAATCATCTTTTTATATAGTACAAGGAAGTCCCAACAGCACGCAGAATCGGCACCAGACTATTTTTGCTACCCTTGAATATTCCTCCTGCAGAGGGACATGCCCGATTTGACACTATGGGCCGCAGCGAAGCCACTATGGGCTTGACGATGCCCCAGCGGGCGGAGGGTCGAAACTCGAGGCATGGTGCGGTATATATATATATATATATATATATATATACATATATATATATATATATACAGCCCCACGGACACGAAAAATACGGCACGGCACCACACCGCACGACGCGAGCGAGAGACGGAAGCCAGTCGGCCAGCGCGCGGCCGACCAGCCAAGCAAAGGCGCCACCGCGGCCAGCCGCGGGATCTGGCCGTCGCTGCCAAGTTTCTGACAGGCAATCACTTCGTTATTCCGGCCCGAAGAACAAACGGGCGCCGACAACGAAAATGGCGCCGCAAAAAAGGACGCCGAAAACCAGAGGGGCGCCGAAAACCAACGATGCGCCGAAAACCACAAGGGCGCCGAAAACAAAAAGGGGCGCCGAAAACCAATAGGGCGCCGAACAGCAACAAGACGGCGCCGAAAACCAAAGAAGCGCCGAAAACTAAAGGGGCTTCGAAAACCAAAGGAGCGCCGAAAACAGAGGAACGCCGAAAACCAAATGGTCGTCGAAAACCAAAGAGGCACCGACAACCAAAAGGGCACCGAAACCCAAGGGGTCTCCGAAAACCAAAGGGCGCCGAAAACCAAAGGGGCGCCGAAAGCCAAAGGTGCGCCGAAAACCAAAGGGGCGCCGAAAACCAAAGAGGCGTCGAAAACCAAAAGGGCGCCGAAAACCGAAGAGGCGCCGAAAACCAAAAGGGCGCGGAAAATCCAGAGGGCGCCGAAAACCAGAGGGCCGCTGGAAACCAAAATGGCGCTGAAAACAAACGATGCGCCGAAAACCAACGGGTACGCTGAAAACCAAGGGGGCGCCGACAACTTGTTTCGTCGCAGCGCAGCAAAAGCAATCCGCACGCACGCTCAAATAATCCGGGGTACGGAATACAAATGGTCCGGCCGGGCGCCGAACAGCAAAGTGGCGCCGAAAACCAAGAGAGCGCCGAAAACCAAAGAGGTACCGAAAACCAAAAGGGCTCCGAAAACCAAAACAGCACAGAAAACCCAAGGAGCACCGAACACCAAAAAGTGTGCCGAGAACAACAGTGGCGCCGAAAACCAAAGGGGTGCCGAAAACCAAAGGGGCGCCGAAAACAAAAGGGAAAAGATAGCTTCGAAGCCCCCCCCCTTCAGCCAGGTTCCTCCAGCTGGAAATACCGCCCAAAGGAGGGAAGGCGGGGTAGCTTCGGAAGCCCCCCCCCTTTGGAAAGGGGAGCCAGGGCTCACCCCCAGGCACCGAAAAGGGGTGGAGGGGGGGGTAGCTTACAAGCCAGCCCCCCCTTTAGCCAGGGCCCCCCCCGCTACAAAGTCCAGACAAAAGGGGGTGGGGTGGGGTGGGGGGGAGGGGGGAGGCAGCTTCGAAAGCCCCCCCCCCGCGGCCCCCCCCC